ACTAAAGGAAGGAAATCTTTTCTGAATATGGAGTAGTACAATCTAGTGACTAGTGCACAAAAATTGCATAACTATTTTACTGTATGTGTAACTTGTGAATTCGAGTTCAGCCCATCAACCAATACTTATTCATTTATCAAATCAGTTCCTTTTAATGTTTATAATTTATTACTTGTTATATAAAACTGAATCTTTAATTATCTTTTGTGATACTAACTATATGTGATTGGAATTTTACTTGCTATCAACGTGTCAATAATTGTTTTGCCTGATCATTATAAGAGAAAAATGTTATGTTAGAATTCGATTTCAATTCAATTATACAAATTTACGCTGTATTGTCAAAGGCAATTTTACAGTGATTTTCAGGAGAACGAAAGAGACTGCACACGTTTTACCATTACTACATGAACAGTTCGGCTCAATCCTGTGGTGCAACCACACACGTACCTGCTACCCTGGTGGACCATTCACACCATTTATATATACACACTGGTATATATATTTCCGATCCATGATCGTGTCAACCAATATGGACCGCATGAACAGGCCATTTCGACCCATCCCGCTTACATGACTGTCAAACTCATTATTATTAGCAATGGTGATATTTAATACAGCACCCCGATTACAATGGCCCCTGGGAATGTTGCAAAACAACCACCTATATCAAGGAAATCGGTCACCCTGCTAACCAATTTTGTATATGGACTGTTAAGAATGCTTACCAAAGCAAAGGCAATCCATCCACAATGTCCACAGCGAACCTCTAGTCTCATAGGAGACCTTCAGCTCTATATAGCAGTATAGTATATGGTGTACACATATATGGCGTTGGATAGTAGAAGAGGCAGCCCAGCTTGGTACAAATAGGCCCAAACACTTCAATTACACTTTGTCTCATGTCGGGTAATAATTTTTCACGTTTCCGAAATTTTCATTTTTCGACCATATGGGACCTGAGTTAGGGGTAGTATCCCTAATGTCAGAATTGTAAAATAAAATTCTCTTGACAATGTTTTAAAAATAATTTGATTCAGACCTAAAATCTAAATGTTATAAATAGAGTATTTGAGGATTTAGCATTTTTTTGCCTTAACTGACAATCACGACCAGACATACTCAAGATATTTCAAAGTACTATCATTATCAAATGTTATATGCAAACTAGTTAGTCATAGAGCTAACTAGTTCATACTTTAATATTCACAACTGTAATAACACAAGCAAGATTTAAGCTAACATATACACGTAAATGTATTGAATTACAATACGAAGAAGCAAACAGAGATCAATAAAACAATTTATATTTTATAAAACTATTATAGTAATTTAGGTAAAGTTTAGTATCCAGATGAAACAAAGTTCATTTGTTAAGTTAAACAATTTATGTAAGAGACTCCCAACTTCATCAAAACGTTCGTCGACATTCGATTATCGTGAGTAGAACTAATTGACTGAACATCTTCCTATCTCTAATATCTAGCACAATCTTTCAAGATAAAGAAATATTCCCTACCGTTGTTGCTACTTTGACATGGTGGTTGTGGTTGCCTATCGTGATGACCCAGCCTAGCTATAGTGGCTGGAATATATGTTCCTGTAGGTCCTACCATGCCAGGAAGGTTGATTAGAGAAAGGTAAGACTAAAAGTAGAAACTGAAGGTCTGAGGGTAAAGTCGTACTGCTCACTGTAGAGGGGTGTGACAGCAATAAGGTGTTTCTGCCGGACAACCAACATTTGTAGTGATGTCACCTTCTCACTAGGAAGGAAGAGGTTGGAAATGTTGAACACCTTACCTCACGGATTTCCGTCTCCGGCGGTAAGGGTTTCTAAACAAGAACGGAGCTAACACTTTAAATACTACCCACAAAAAGGCCTTCGTGACCGGCCTCAAGCAGTTGTCCCATGGGCTCTGCGGTCACTCTTCCAGGTCTCTAAGACCGACACTGATCTACCTTCCTTTTCAGGTCCCTTAAACAACACCCTCCCACAGTGTAGGCAGCCGGAAAGTGACATCCGTTCTCATAATCGTAAAAGACCAAATTAGTTGCAACCAAACCCTTCGTACACCTATTAACAACCCTTTCACCTTGACGAACAAACCCTCTCACATTCGTTTGTCACCTGGCGTCGCTGACACAAAAGATCTGAGTAAACGGGACGTTATTCCTGCTCTCCTAAAACCACGCCCTAAACTGCATGTTGGAGCTTTAAATGTTCGAACCTTGTATCAAATAGGGCAACAGGCTTCCTAAGCGAGGATTTTGGAATCTCAGTGCAATCGATATAGGCTGGGTCTGTGAACTGAGCATACAGGATCCGAGTGATGTCATTCATTTGGCCTCCAAATGTTGAAATAAAGAACACTCTCGATATACTCTTTGTCTCAACGTTAGACCCAACGAGATCACATTGCTATCAGCCACCGATTGAGGGTTCAATAGAGGACTGTCGCTCGTTCTGGGGCACATGTTTAGATTCAGATCATGCTCTAGTGCGAGCACGTGCTTGCTTGAGGCTTAGTGGACGTAGGAAAGACGCTGCAATTAACTCCCTTGGAATTCTACTAAATGATAGTGAAGCCGAAAGTATTATTCAGTGGAAACTAGAAAAACAGTTAGGTAGCGATATAAATTATTCCCGCTCCGAGGCGGCTTGGAACGATATCCAAAAAGCCGCGGAAACAACAGTGATATCTGCCGGGGATGTAAACCAAAAGGCTAAGGAGAAGCAGTGTATCCCAGTAGCATCTACTGAATTGATATATGCCCGGAAACTCATTCCATCTGGCTGTGAACATGATGAGGAGAGGAGTCAGCTTATGCACAGGCTGATAAAAAGCCTATGCAGTGATCGCGAACAGTGGTGGGTAGCGAAAGCAATTGGTAACAGCAGGCAACTGTTCAGGCTTATCAAGGAAACCGGCATCAGGAATCTGACTCTTAGCAAGACTATCTCAGAAAGGGATGGGACTACTGTTCATTCTCAACCCAGGAGATTGGATCAATGAGCAGAACACTCGAGGGAGCAGTTCAACTGGCCTTCAGTCACACTTAGGTTACCCTAGATCTCCAGTCAACCTGAATGGAGAGTCGATGTAAGTCTTCCGACTCTTGATGAAGTTGAGAAAGAGATAGGAAATCTGAAGCGAGGGCGAGCTGCAGGTCCTGATAGACTGACTCCTGAGATTTTTAAGGATGGTGGCCCACTTTTAGCAGCTAGATTGACTGAGATCTTCGGTAGAGTGTGTAAACTGGATGTAATCCTATTCCACTGGTCTCAATCAATGATTGTCTTCTTGTGACAGTCAAAAAGCAATCAGTCTAACACATAAATTCAAGCGTAATTTATACAGCACATAAAACGTCATCGGAAGTGTTACCAAATTGCACATTAAAAGAGAAAACTGACCAATAAGTCTTAAGGTCTTTTTAAGTGAGGAACATGAACTGAAAGTAACTAAGAGCTTTTTCTGGACGAAAATAAGAAATTGAAACTTGCAAAAATACATTACAAAATTAAGAGGTTTACTAAGCGATTTCCGGAGATCTAGAGTCCTCAACAAGATCACTAAAAATGACCAGAGAGTTATTGGCAAGAGTACAAGTTCACGTGAAGCTCTGATTATTTTCTTGTAAATACTGATTCTAAAGTTTAAACAGAACATATGCTTTATTTTTCCGTATGATCAATCACTACTTTCAAGTTAATGGTTGAAACATGAAGGTGACATAGAAAACCGTGGGATGTTTCATAGTTTGTTTAAAGCAATTCGTAATTAGTATGTATATAATATAGTTTCACACTTTTGAAACCATGAATCGATCAATGTTAGACCACCATCAGAAACCTGGAAGCACTGGACGGCCGTTTCGTCCTGGTATGGGACTCCTCAGAAGTGCGCATCCACGACTCCTGCACCCCGCAGGATTCGAACCCAGGACCCTAACCGTTAGACCACTGAGCCGGTATCCAACGGTGTTAATGTCTAACTTGATCAAATAGTTTTACAAAAATTTCAATCGTTAATTTATCGATTATTTTGTTCGTAAAGTTTAATCTACAACAAAACTGTCCCAAAAAGTATGTTGTAATGAAAGTAGGCTGTAAAGTTCCTCCCAAGCCAGCATCCATAAATAAAGAAATTGCAGAGTAACACACTTTACGTCTAGACATATTGTTTTTAGTAGAAAAGAGTGGGATATAATGAATAGAAAGTTTTTGTTTCTTGTCTGACGATCATAATCAATTGCCACCTACCTCGATACACTTTTCTGTTTCAAATTAGTAATATGATACGATTATCCAGAAGTTATTTAGAGTACGGACTTGTAACCTTACATTCTGAAATCTTTTAGGGGATGAAAATCTTATTCGATTCTTTGCTTCATTAAACTAATTATCGAAATTTCTTAAAAAATTCTATCAATCATTCTCTTTCAATCTCTCTCTACACCTCTCTTCGTTAAAACTTATCTTATTCAAGTCAAACAATAATTCAGTCTTATAGATTATGATTTTTGACATGTAGTGTAACGTATATCGTCTAAAAACAAGTAAAAATGTACATAATTGCATTTTATTTGTAATTATAACATATTTTTAAACCATAAAACTTTATGTATCAGTCATGTAAAAGTGTAATGATCGAATGCAAATTCTAACAAAGCATTGAAAAAAAATCATTGGGATTTTATAATACATTGTACCTAAATGTTAGACACCTTTACCAAATGAACTGAACAGCCATCATAAAATTTCTTTATCCAGATCCAATTTAGAATAGATTCCACATATTTTTTTTTTCATTTATTGATTGATTTAGTTAGACAGACAGATAGGGCACAAATTTTTAAATTATTACCTTTATTTTACACGATGAATAAAGTTTCCGTGTAATCTTTGTGTTATTATTGACTAGTTAGTTGTATACCACCAATCAAAAATATTTTTAAAAATATTGGTAAAAGAAAAATGAGAATACATTTGCACAAACCCCCCATGTACACTACTAACCGCACCAATCTTCCCTCTTTTCCATATAATAATACCAAATATATGCACAATTGTTAACAAACATTTTTAAAAATGATCAGGGAGTTCGTATATATATATATTTCGAAATAGTAATCTGAAATATAGTTGCATTATATAATTTTTATTATTTCAACGAGAATTTTAACTTAGTTTACAATACTTATCATTTAGTTACGCATAACCCATACAAATATTGTGAATAGTGATTTGAAATTCAATAATCCGCTGCTCTATACCAATCCATACGTTATTTCTGTTAAAAAAAGAAACATACATTTTACAAATATTTTTCCGAATATTTATTCATTTGTTAATTATGCCTTCTGAAATTTGTCCAAAATGCCAAAAAGCTGTTTATGCAGCCGAACGAAAAATAGCCGGTGGTAAAGCATGGCATAGTATGTGCCTGAAATGTGGTAAGTTATGCTTTGTGGACTAACAGTTTAGTAAATCATTTTTGAATGATAAATATTGATTTTAAAGACTATAATTATAATGTAAGCCATTTGACTCAATTACAAACTTATCGCCTAGTTGGATAACTTGTGTCTTTGAGGTTTTTGGAAGTTTTAACTATTTTTTACAGTTGATTATTGTGAGTAGTAAACTTATTAGTTGAAGAAAAAGTTTTAATGTTCAAGTCATACCGAAAACACATATAATTACAATCTAAATAAACCTTGTCTTGGTAAAGTACTAATCAATACATTTATCTTTTCTTGTAAAGGCACTTTGGAGTTGCATAAAAAGTCGCTTGATAAAACAGTACGACTTGACATCAGAAAAGTATATTACAGTGACTGGGATTATTTCAAATCACGATGAAATTTCATGTTCTTTAGCTTTTAGGTATTAATATTCGATCCAAGTTCAATATCTAGGATGGGTGTTTAGAGAGGGATTTTCTAAAGGACTGCGTTTACATGTGAAGACTATTTAAAATTGAGACACTAAGCATCCGTACTTTGAAAGTTTGAATTCCCCAAGTAATTCATAAAAATATATATAATTAGGTAATTCAGTGATTAGAAACTCAATTTAGAAAGTTAGAAAACCTAAACATATTAAACATTACATAAACATGACTGTTCAATACATGTTCAATCCCAAAGTGTATTTGAAATGATAAATATGTTGAAGAAAGGACTTTCCATTGTCTTTATAAATCTATAATTCAATCTATATAACATGTAATATCGAGGAAATTGTGTTCGTCTATCGGTTAGAAATTTTTGACAGTAAACTGATTAGCTATTTATTGTTCAAAAATCTGAATACAGTCATGTTATGGTCTGAGTACACTTACTGTACAGTAATTTCATTTGTATTAATTACAGTCAAGAGAAGTATTCTGAATTAATGTGCGGCCTTGATCAATGTTTTTATTCGGAAGAATCTAGCTAATTGTCCATTAGCGATTCTCACTTATTCTCGTTAATGAACAGTTTAATTTATGAATGATACTGAAAGCGAAATTGAATGAGTAATAATCTTATAGTTGAAATCACAAACCTTTTTAATGAATACTGTTCTCTGTTTAATATCACAGTTCAATGCTTAAGTTTAACCAACATGAAATCTGATGAAGTAACTAACTAAATGATCATCAGATATCTTGCTGATTTCTGTTCTCATAGGTTTAATAACTAATTAAATAAACGATAAGTCATAGGTTCAGTTTGAGAAATACAAATTCAAACATTGACAAAAATAGTCAAAATAAGTGATTTATTCATGTAGGTTGTTAATTTTCTGAATGGCGCTGTTCCTGCCTAAGAGAAATGCTTTGAATTTTCGTGAAAAGTTGAAAATATTCTGGTAATTCTTACGTCAACTTAACGTTAAATTCTTATATGTGTCATATTTAAATCAATGCTTGTCGACCGTAATTTTGTATCGAGTCAATCAATAAATCTTCAGTGCTAATCCATGTATCTAAAAACCTGTCAAAAATACCATAATTAACTGAATGAGTTAAAATATACAATATTTATGATGTATATCATGAGAGAAGGTGAAAATCAAGCATCTGAAGAATGTTTTTTGAGATGATGAATATATGTAGCGCAGGTTGGAAATTTTCATTGTGGTGTGATTTTGAAGCTTTGTCTTTTATTGAGAAGTGAACGGTTAGACTTTCCTCCGAAATCGACTAACAGCTTGCTCTTTTGATCTAGAATTTGATTAGTCGTCCATAAGTATATGATCCTTGCTGTATCATAGCCACGACATAGGTTCTCTCATAACAACAGGTGGATAATTATGAACAAGAAAACGTCAAGATACTGAACAGCGGAAATATAAAGAAAGCTAGAGGATTTCAGAAGCATAGAACTTTGGAAACATATCGATCAGCAAATATTTCGAAATTGACTCAATCCATTAAACCAGTAAAGAAAACGATCATGAATTTCAGAGTTATAGATCAAATTTTAGGTGAACTAAAGCAAAATGAGCATGCAAACAACAGCCATACACCTTAATGGACAACAAAATCAACTATATCCTAGGCCAAGAGAAGAAGCTATCAGTAATATTTAAAGAAATTCTAATAACCCACTTCCTATTGAAGTGTCTGTGCTGATGACATAATCAAGCAAGAAAAACAAAACTTCACAGTTAAACCATCCAGCTTAGAAAACTGAACATAAAAATAAAATGTCCTTTTTAGGAGACAATTCTTTCTCCCATAGATTAATACAAATTTCATTGTTAACTGGTAAGAGTAAGAATAAAATACAATTTTCAGCAAATATTTTGCGCATTAAGATATAATTGCTAATGCTAACTATTATGTATGGGTCAGTATCTGTTGATTATCATTTAGCGTTAACGCAAGCACCAGTTCGCTAAAAGCTTATAAGAAACAACATTTAAAGGTCAGTACCATGTGCATTTCTAATTGTCAGTTGTTCTAACATTTATTAAAAGTACTTGCGCTAAGATATCACCCAAAAGTAAACAAAATTAAACCAAAACCTTACTGATGACATTCGAGATTAATAGAACAACTGCTAACAGAACAGAACGTTAAGTAAACTGATTAAATAAGCTTTCTCATTTAACTTCCAACATGAACTAATAATACTACACTTACTCAAATGAAATGTTTTATCAGTTAAATAAACATACTGTTGTTACCTTTCTGATTTACACTTACATAAATCACATTTCTAATATTTAATAACTTAACAATAATTCATTACTTGTTCAATGATGTTAAATTTTCAACAACATTCGACTAGTTGTTTTAGAGAATTTATAAGTTAAATAATTCTGAACTTTTACCGGTTCACTAAAATATAAACATTTGAATATGATCTTATATTATGTATCTAGAAAGAAATTTGGCCACATAGTCACGTATGATTTTCGTTGGCTTGCAACTAACCAGCATAACTCATAGTCTTCAATCATCTATCTTTTAAACAACTTTTTTTATGACTCTCATTCTTGTATTTTATGTCTTGTAGATGTGTATCATTTAATTGGAAATAATTTTTACTTAGCTATCTTTTAAGGTCTTTTAATAACCGTTTATTCGATAGTATTGATTACTTTAAATTAAAGGTGCTTGCACAAACTTCACACTTATTAATAAGACAAACAATGTATTCGCATATATAAATTTCCCAGTTGAAAGAAAGATTACCGAGTATAAAGTTTGAAAATATCATGTAAACTACTGTCATCATACCACTGCTGTAATGTATATGCATTAGATAGGTGTTTAATGATGTCTTTGAAATAAAATCGCATTCACAGTCAACATCTCTTTCTCTCTCCCTCTCTCTTAGAAGAGATAATATTGTTTATATCATTGTAAGTTAAATATGATATTTGTTTATAAAGTAAAAAGGAAGGTTTTCATAGGTATTTTCAGTATACTAATCTATCTTATCTTTGGATAATGTTTTATGAATATTTATTTTCATCTTCTAGTCTTTACATTTAATGTTCAGTGGAAATATATACATCTGACAATCGTTGTAATTTTAAATCTGTGAACTGAACTCTTAATAGATTGAAAATGTTTGCATACCTTTTAAACAACTGTTCAATATTCTTTACATTCCTTTTGAAACTAGATACTTTTCACACACAAAAAACACATCACTAATCTATTCACGAATAAAACTTGGGAATTTTAGAATCAATCGTAAATGGCTCCTATTTTCGAAATTCATCAATAAGTTGCTAGTTTTCATACAACAGAATATTAGTTAATATGAGCATTACAGAGAAGAAAGTCTTTTGATTCTATTACATAAAGATTTATCAATGAAAACTAGTGTAAAAATGACATGGATGTGATTTGAATTTTTACATTATTTCTAATTTATTTTTGACTGATAATGATATTGTAATGTAGGATTACTAACAAGTGATTTGATTTGGAACAATGTAAGAACAACATTTATGCAATTGGTTCCGTTCACAGATGGATAACTTGATCGAATAGCATGTTTTTAGAATAAACCTGTCGTGACTGGCATCGGGACCTAACTATATGTATTTCGTCCCACTTGGAATTCATCAGATGTTAATGCTTTCAACCTAGTGTTAATGTATACACTGAGACTCAGTGATTTACTCATCACATCATCTTAAGCAAAACGTATAAAGTTCGAGTATCAGTTAGAATTTCAACACTACGATTTAGGTACATTCAAACAACTAATACTAAATTGGATAAAAAGAAACGTTTTTGAATTTCAATGTTATTTACAGTCTATCCATTGCAGCAACGTACAACAAAAATGGCTGTACAAAAGTAATCAACTAACATGTTTGTATTCCAACTGAAATCGATTGAATTTCATTGCTGAATACTAACAACAGGTCAATTCAAACTTTCTATGGCAGTAATATAGATATGACAGTATATTTCTTTTCAAAAAAAGCTGAAATTCACCTTAGTTTCACTGTCAAATAAAAGATACTTTATAGAGATATACGTTTTATTTTTAAAGGTTTATGCAATAAAATGTTAGACAGTACTACAGTGGCTGAACATGAAGGAGAAGTTTTTTGTAAAACATGTCATGGTCGTAAATTTGGTCCAAAAGGCTATGGATTCGGTGGAGGCTCTGGAGCATTAAATATGGATACTGGAACTCATGTTGGCAATAAAGAAACAGAAATGTCGTAAGTTTTTCGTTGATGATATAAGATTCACTTTTTGATGATGAGTTAAAATGAATATCAGAAAATTAATCATTCTGACTTCACTTTTCAACTTATTTGAACTTGATTGTCTAGACCTTCCATAATCGGGAAAGTGTTGACTCCTTTAGGTGCACATGCAGAGGTTGGACAGTTATATGTCCATAATAAAAATATAGTCTAGAATGAGATAGTGGTAAAGTTTATAGCTCAGGTAGGGTAATTATAGTGGAATTTCGTTCTGTGAGTTGAATGTTTCAATTGTGAAGCCTCATGATTATTCTAAACAATATAATCCACACAAATTTCAAATAGAAATGAATGATTCAAATTTCTTCAAGTATGACTGACAACTTATCCTGTCGACCTACATCTTCACTGGTCATTGTCGACCTTGAACCTATCAGTTCCTATACATTCATTTTAATTATCTTTCCCTTCAACTTGATACCTGATCCTATATTTATGCATGGTTTTCATGACTGGCCGATAAATTAGATCATTTACAACGTATTTGTTGATTGTTGATTGACATGAGTACTAGGCCGCCATTATCGTAATATTCTAAACATCAGCAACTTAGTCCAGATGAAAGAGATTACTTTGCGTTGGACAAAACAGTATTCCATGGATACCTGGGATTTATATTTTGTTGTTTGAAATTGAATTTACGAAACCATCTACTTGACAGACTAACATCAACTAGCTGTACACCATCTGCATCCTATTACTACTATGGTTACGTGATGTTTTACTGACATTACAGAAATTGTGCATGAAATCTTCAAACTACCAATAAAATCTAGTCATAAGTAGCAAAAAAGTATTGAAAGTAAGTAAGAAACAGTGACTAGAAATGTTCGGAATTAATGAAGAGGTCGTTCAATTATCTAAATGTCATTCACAAAATTAATCAAATTTCGATGTCTTGATTTTCATTTTGGAAATTTCAAGACAAATATATTCATTTATATTCATATAAACAATGGATTCACTCATTTCAATGAGCATGACTACCTAGTTATTCTCGTTAAATTAATAAGATAGCTATTCGTTTAGTTTCTCATCGAGTTCACCTTTTCAAAGATGATATGATTTTTCCAGAGTACCAACAGGATTACATTTTTTCCTTTTCTTCGACTTCTATGTATCGATAAAATATAACTGAACAGTTAGATATCATTAAATCTTAAACAACCTATTCATTTCATGTTTGTTTGCTGGCTAACTAATAGTATTTATTACTTCATAGAAAGCAACTGTTCTCAACTGATAACTGTAGATTATTTTATCACTTATTGACTAATTTATTCACAGTATTTTACCATATATATATATATATATATATATATATATATATATATATATATATATATATATATATATATATATATATATATATATTGTCCACAATTTCTAATAGGCTATTTTAATAGTTGATCATAAAATATAACGGTAATCTTTTTTTTGAAAATCATTAACGCAGAAATAAACCAACAGCTGGTGCAATGGGTGGCAAAATTATATCTCCCGAAGAAGGTGGTTGCCCACGTTGTGGTAAACGAGTATATGATGCGGAAAAAGCTATTGGATGTCCTAGTGGAGTAAGTGTGTGTGTTTGAATATTTTTGTAGTAGTAGTAGTAGTAGTAGTAGTAGTAGTAGTAGTAGTAGTAGTGTGGTGCTTATAAGTAGTATATGACGCTAGTGAAAACGTAATGTCTGACAGCAGAAGATGGGGGAAGATCAAGAAAGGAAGAGTGGGAACACAATGGAATTTGTATGAAACGCATGAATAGTGAAATGTCAGACAATGGATTGATGATGGATTGATGTTTTGCAAATTAATCGTTTACGATATGGTTTTCCTATTTTACTGAGTAACTCTGTAATTTGCAATAAATACAATTCGGTTGCCGTCACCTGTCTTCGCCTTCACGACAGTAGTAGTAGTAGTGTGGTGTGTGCTACTTATTCGAACGATATAAGGAGTATAAGAAGGGACGTGAAAGAAGAACTCTCACGGTCAGAAGAGGAAAACGGAAAACAAATGGAGCAAAAGCAAGCAATAAATAGAGTACCAACAGGAAGTAAAGCAAGCAACAGCAGGAATGGAAAAAGGATGGAGCGTTGGAAGTCGCGACTCGAAGATGGTGTGCAAATAGTGTTCAATGTAATGTTGTCGTTTTTAGTTGACTAAGAGTGTAAATTGCATAATACAATCTTCAGCGCCTGCCTCAGTCTTCTCAGTAGTAGTAGTAGCAGTAGTTTAAGAATAATTAGGGGGTGTTTTGAACAAAATATCATGTCCATTTATTTCAAATATTAGGTACTTATTTTACAGATTATTTATTCACCAACAACTCATTTAAATGATTCATTTTGGCTCTACTAATATATTACATATCTAGTAGAATTCATTTGAAATATTTGTCAGCAATCGGTATTGTCACTGTGTTATGAGACTTGCGTAACTTACAAAGTTTCTAACTATATAAAGCAATAACTCTGAAAGTTTATGAAATCATGAAGTCAGTAATCAATAGATACAAAGGAATTTGTTATTTATTATTCGATTAACGTACCTTTAAACTAATCATTCTGCATTCATTGATATTATTTTGAATCAAGGGTTAAAAAATAAACTTGACACATTGGTAAAATGCTTGATTTTCCCATCCTTTTACTCGTTTAGTGATGAAAATTACCATGTAAACTAATAGTAAGTGTTAGAAAAAGCATGGATAAGTAGATACACGATAGAAAGATATTCTAATCTTACCTATAGATAAAAATTAGATGAATTTGTACAACTATGCTCTCTTCTGGACTGTATCAGATGCACTGTTATGTCAGATTTTCATAGAACACTAAAAACTGTAAAAAGAAAAGTAAACGAAATTTCCTTAGTTGAATAAACTTCAAATCAAAGAGCTGCAGATCATAGCTTATCACAAAAAATCATAGGAAATATTTTACTGTAGCGTAAATGAAGGATGAAAATAAATTGAATTTTTTGAACCGTAGCATTTCTTGCAGAAACCTGAAATTATTTTATTAGATATGTCAAATGTCATTACATAAAAATTCATATTTTTGATATTTTTGACTTCACTGTCAAAGTTAACTAAGAATTTTTTATAAAGATATCAGCAACCAGTGAATTGTACTTTTTCTCTCAAACTATTTAACCTTATCAGTAAGGAATTTACTATGCTAACTAACAATTACTTCTTAAGTAGTATTTATTATGTACTTTCCTTAGCCAATGTACCATTGAGAACTAGGATATATTGCATAGGTCTTTCGTTCTAATTCAGTTATGTAAATGGCGAAACAGTTATCCTCGAGTGACATAAACTACTTGTTTAAGCATATCATAAAGTGATTGAAGTCAGAAATGTGTACCACTGAATATTGAGAAAGTGGTTCTGATGGTTAAGTGCTATCTTGGAGACCTAAAAGTCCTGAGTTCGGTTCCTAATGAAATGAGAAACAAATTTCGAGGGGAATTATACAGAGAGAAAATAGCTGGCCATTACCCCCATGGTTCTCTGTGAAACCCCAACTATAATCAACCTAAAAATCGAACTAATCTTCAAAAAATTCCTACGCAAAAAATTATTTCCAATAATTAGTGCATTTTAAGTGTTTCATTTATGCACACAATCTATCCATCATTTATTTTGCTATTTTATTTTTGCACATGTAGCTCAACTTTCATAAAGCTTGTTTCCGATGTAAAGTTTGCGGGAAATCACTTGATTCCACTACTTTATGTACTCAAAAAGAAGAAAAAGAAGTTTATTGTAAAGGTACCGTGGAAAAATTCCGGATTATTAATTATTGTTTCTTTATATTATAATCTAATCTAATTTTTTATTGCATGAATAACGGTGCATGTTGGTTCTCCACCTTGGATCTAGCATCGGGGTATTGGCAAGTGGAAGTCCGACCGCAAGATAGGAAGAAAACTGCATTTATATTACCAAATGGTTTATATGAATTCCAGGAAATGCCTTTCGGGCTAACGAATGCCCCGGCTACTTTCGAGCGACTGATGCAAACAGTGTTACAAGATATAGTTCCCCATAAATGTTTGATTTACCTTGATGATATTATTGTATATGGTAGCACACCCGAACAACACAATGCTAACCTGAAAGCTGTCCTTCAACGTCTTAGACAACATCATCTAAAAGTAAAACCATCCAAATGCCGACTGCTACAGAAGGAAGTAGTATTCCTAGGACATCGCATCAACCCAGATGGCGTTTGTACAGATAATGAAAAGACGCGTGCCATTGTTACTTGGCCGCAACCAAAAACACTTGAAGACGTTCGCAGTTTCCTGGGTCTCGCGTCCTATTACAGACGTTTTGTTGGCGAATTTGCATCTCTGGCAGCACCTTTGCACAGATTGACACATAATTACAGTTTTAAGAGTTTTTTAAACATTAGAACATCAATATAATTATGATAGTTATTCCTAAATACAGAAGCAGAAATCTTCAATCTAATTGTATACTTTTAGTGATGTTGTGTTCTCGTAGTTAGATGGTCATATTGGTAGACTAACTAACAAACTGTAATAATATTAGCGTTACTTACTCCCCTCATGCCTATTGCCTCGAATGAAGAAGTATAAGCCACCGATCACTATTCTCCAACCTACTCTGTCTTCCAGCTTCCCTTTCCAGTTCTGTTCAATCGCTGTTCATTCTTCTCATATCTTTCTCTATTTCTTCGCGTGTAATGTGTTTATTGGTGTTCCTCTATTCCTTTGACCTTGAGGGTTCCAAGTGAGGCCTTGTCTTGTGATGCAGTTGGATGCTTTCCTCAAATTATGTGTTCTATCCACCAACTCAAGCACTTCTGCACGATTTCCTCCTCCACTGGAATCTGGTTTGTTCTCTTCCACAGTACGTTGTTGCTGATGGTGTCTGGCCAACGAATCCGAAGTATTTTGCATAGACAACTGTTAATAAACACTTGTATCTTCTGGATGATGCCTTTAGTAGTTCAGTTCTCCATGTTTCCGCTCCATACAGTAGAACTGTCTTGACATTTGGTATTGAAAATCCTGATTTTGGTATTGGTTGAAAGTTGTTTGGAGTTCCAGATATTTTTCAACTGTAGAAATGCAGCCCTTGCTTTGCCAATGCGCGCCCTCACATCTGCTGCATCGGATCCACCTTTCTCGTCGATGATGCTGCCCAGATATGCAAAGGTGTTAATGTCCACCAAGGCATCTCCATCAAGAGTGATTTGGTTGGTGCATGTTGTGTTGCATCAAGACTTACGGCTGCTCAGTGCTTATTACCAAACTGACCATCTTCTGCGGGATTTTTCTATTGAATACATCGGGCTAGATTATCTCAATCAATCAACAGCAACATAGAACTTCGTACGTACGTACGAACGTACATAAGTTCAAAGTTGCCATACCACATTATCACACACAGAGAGATGTAATTGTCAATTCAAATCCAATAGTAGACTTTCATTGTCGTACTCGACAAAATTATCAGGGTTTATTTCACATGTAGAACTGAGATATTCAACTGTACCCCATCAGTTAGAAATCAGTTTGTTCTGATCGCCTTGTTTGTGATTGGTTGTTTGAATAGGTTTAGTTATTTCATTCACTTAAGCGCTCTATACAAATACTCTAACATTCCATACCATATCATGGTCCTTCTTGTGTACAATCACAGTAGTGTTTTCTCAATAGTTGTTGGATGAGTTGATGGAAGTAAATAGAGAGCAACTCTGTTCTGAATGTGTTTTTTGTTATTTTCTATCGATCGTTAGATTCACTAGTCAAGTTATTGCGTCTAAAACCAAACAAAAACTACTACGCAGAAATTAATTTACTTTTACATTATTTTTTAATTCAGCTTGTTATGGAAAAAATTTCGGACCGAAAGGTTTCGGTTTCGGACAAGGTGCTGGTGCATTAAACATGGGTTGAAAAAATGCAACAGAAAAAACTTTGATTCAATGCAACACTATTTCTTATATCAGCAGTCTCGGTAAAAACAATCAAACACACAGTTCATTCATTCATTCATTGATTCAGTTCAACATCCTTTTTGTTATTTAAAAAACCAATTTTTTTCCGCTTTTTATTTTCAATTTTCATTTTAGTCAATAGTTAAACTTGTTTGTAATAACATGCGATCACACACACAGTATTTACTTATCCTTACTTATAAACGTTTTCTTTCAAACAAACAAAGGAACAGGTTCCAAAACAAGCAAATAAACAATGATATTTATTAATAATTATTTTAAATTCTAGAGAATCTTAATATTTGAAAATTAAATTCTTCTTCTTCTCCACTGGTTTTAAATAAACAAAACATATTCAGTCTAATGAATTATGATGTTTTTTTCACCTTGTCAATATTTATTGAATTATACATTTATTTATACATATCAATTCAATGGTATTTTTATCAAGGTAACTAGACGCTTTTGATAGTTTATCAATCAAAATGGAGAGTTGGGGAGTCGACCAATTAAATCGAAATTAAATCATGCTACAAAATTTCATGGATTATCTTTTTTTCGGGCAGAGTTTTGTAGGTTTTGTGTTTTTACACATTCGAAATCATCAATCAATCATTGTTAGACCACCATTAGAAACCTGGAAGCACTGGACGGCCGTTTCGTCCTGGTATGGGACTCATCAACAGTGCGCATCCACGACTCCTGCACCTCGCAGGATTCGAACCCTGGACCCTCGGTATCGTTCTCGGAGTTCTAGTTGAGAAGACGTGATCAATGGAGTTCAACCCTGTTGGGTGTAGGCAGTAACTACCGAAGACAAATGGGTGAGGTCGCGCAAAATCCGTAGATCAATCGGAGTTAGACATTAACACCGTTGGATGCCGGCTCAGCGGTCCGATGTTTAAGCGTTCGTGCACAATACCGAGGGTCCCGGGTTCGAATCCTTCGAGGTGCAGGAGTCGTGGATGCGCACTGCTGATGAGTGCCATACCAGGACGAAACGGCCGTCCAATGCTTCCAGGTTTCTATTGGTGTTCTAACATGGATTATCTTTTAGCATTTCTTTCAAACTTTATTGAAAATGATAGTTGATAGTGTGACTGAAAGTTCTCACTGCAAGTTATTAGCTATTGGTTTTAAAAGACTCACCTTGATAGACAAAAAACCTATTCTTACTGTTGTCACACATTTTAGGTGTGCTGTTAATCTGAAATAAAGCTCTATGGTTAATACATTTATTCTGTACAGTAAAAAATATCATGAAAGTTTCAAAAAAGAAAAGTTACCATAAGCTTATGGATTTTTAGATTGATCAATGTTAGCTTGCCTTTATGGTATATTTAAAAGTTTTTCTAAACACCACAAAACAGAGATTTCATAATGAAAAGATTACACGAAAACCAAAAGTCGACACAAAGTTATGATATCCTGACGCAAATGTGCATCAATGAAATATTTGAATATTATTGTATTTATGAAACTACTGCTCCATTCAAACCAGTCATATTCGAAAGTATCGTGTCGAACTACACTCACCTAAAAGTCAAGTTTCTTGTTGACGTTAGTAAATAATTTGCTGACACTCAACATGAATTGGAAATTATTAATGATTACTACTTAATTGGCTAGAGTAGTTGGTTTTTTTTATAGAAGTAACAGAAACTTAGTTGAATGAGAAGCTGATTCATTAGTTTACATCCAACTTAGCGAATAAGATCTAAATCCAAACTCTAAAATTTTGTGGAAAGCACAAAATCGTCAGACCCATCGGTTAAACTTATGGTTGGGAAATATGAGTAATATTAGCCAAATTAGTTACAAATGTCCACGAACAAATAACTGAAGTTTTGTTAAAGTATAATGATGAATTTTAACTGGTGTTTTCCTTCATACATCCTTACAGGAAAAGCTAGGTATGTGACTCTACTCGTCATATTAATGGGTATCACGACTTCCCATATATTCCTTATAGTGATTTAATAAAAATGTCTTATATTCAAATGTCACAACTTTATGCTATGCACGAAAATATTAATCATATCAGTCACAAATAATATGAAAGATGATTGCACAATATCGATGGATAACTAAAATTAGACATGTACAGCACTAGGTTCTTATATGGTAACCTAGAGGCTAAGCACTCTCTGCTTTACTGAAGGTCGTGGGTTCGGTCCTCACTGGAATGTTTATTATGTACTGGGGAGGTATCTCATCCTAGAATAAAGCATCTGTCCAGTATTTTTTTCGTCAACAATATTTGTATAAAGCCAATCTGTGTTGTAGACTACAAAACCTCACTGAAATACAAATTAACCAAAAAATTATTAACTAGTATCACATACTATTTGTCATTTATCAATGTTACACAGGCTTCTTTTCATTAAATTGAAGGTAGGGCCATTTAAAGTAATTTAGCTAATTTTGGTTAGATAAATCTCTGTGAAAAAATTAGATATTATTACTAATCAGTCACCAAATGGTTATTAAGATATTTATTCCTTTTGCTGTAAATGCTTTTTATCGTAAAAAAAAGATTTCCCATAAAATTCAATATCTTTCTACTTATATACCTTAAATGAACGATGATAAAAAATTAGCTCTAAGATGAAGTCGAATTTTCATTCTAAATTTTGTCAAGTCTAATTAAATATTAGATCTAAAACAAAGAACAATAATACCTGAATGTCTATTTTCATTGTAAAATCTAACTTATTCATCAATAATATTAATGACGAATCAGATTTCAGCGTTAGGTAAATCAATAATTTTATTCAGCTTGTGTACGGGAAAGGCAGGTAAATGTGCAAATTACTACTATATAGAATAAAGAATGTGCACAATATGAATGTATGTATCAAGGAAATAAAAGAGAAAACTAGACATAAAAGGTATCTAATGCGAATTGACTAAAATGTTTAATGCTAAATAATAAAACTAGCCAATATATTTTTGGGGAATTTTATCATTATTAAAAATAGTAAGTATGATCAAACCAAAAAAAAAAAGAGATTTGACAATAAACGAAAAAGGTTATTTCATCAATAAATTATTGTTCTAACATGGAAAGGTCATGTGTTACTTGATAAATACAGAAAATATACAAGATGGTGAGAATGTTAAACTAGACCATTAATTAAACAATGACTTCACTATGAACAGTAAATAATGTAGACTTTTGTGATTATATTTTGTTGAACAAATCGAGTTAAGTGATTCACGCGCTTTAAAAACGGACCGATAGTTTTCGGCATTATCAATTTAATGGAAAGTAATTTATCGAAATGAGAGATATTTTATTCAAATTCTACAACAACTAAAGTTCATTTTCGGGCAGAGTTTTGGAGGTTTTGTGTTTTCACACATTTGAAATCATCAATCAATCATTGTTAGACCACCATCAGGAACGTGGAAGTACTGGACGGCCGTTTCGTCCTGGTATGGGACTCATCAACAGTGCGAATCCACGACTCCTGCACCTCGAAGGATTCGAACCCAGGACCTTCGGTATTGTGCGCGAACGCCTAACCATCGGACCACTGGGCCCATACCAGGACGAAACAGCCGTCCAGTGCTTCCAGGAAGTCTAACAATGAATGATTGATGATTTCAAATGTGTAAAAAAGACAAATGGGTGAGGTCGCGCGAAATCCGTAGATAAATCGGAGTTAGACATTAACACCGTTGGATGCCGGCTAGGGGGTCCGATGTTTAAGCGTTCGCGCACAATACCGAAGGTCCCGGGTTCGAATCCTGCGAGGAGCAGGAGTCATGCATGAGAACTGAAGTTCAGTCAGATAAAATATACTGGTAAGATACTTGTTCGATCAGTGTTCATAATCAAATTATTCTGACTAAAGATTATTATTTATTTCGAACTACTCATTAAGATCAGTAACAGTCGATTTACATCGACTTCTGATATTTATTAAGCTGACAATAAATAGTTTTCTAAATAAATTCGCTTAAATGGTCTAACGTTTGTGCAAATTATGTCATCTTTTCTGGTTTCTTTTTACATTCCATAAGGAAATGTAATTGGATAATGGATGGTTGAAAGCAAATGACAAGTGCTTCTGTAACCCTGATTTTTGGTAAATTAACACTTGTCAACAAGGAATATTTACAACTGTGAGATAGTCGATACTCAAGCCATTCAGCATTACAATCAAAAATTTATTAATTTAATAGTCTTCATACCAAACAGCGTGAATTTCGGCCATGTAATGACAAGACGAGGTTGATTGAAAAAATGTGATTTGTTTGTTTTGTACTATTCGAACAGTTTACGTGAATTTAAATGTGATATTAAAATTGTTAGTTGCATTTCATTCACCCAAACAACATAGAATTATAAAATACTCTATAGATTGAAAATACTGCTTCATTTGGAATTTATCATAATTCATCTAAAGGGTGAATTCAAATTATAGAACATTTATCATATCACAGAAGATGCCCTGCAAAAGCATATACCGAGTAGACACTAGATTCATAAAATATAGGAGATTTGTATTTAAGCAACTAAAACTATTCGACTTCAGTTAGATAGATGAAGAGCTTCCTTTTAAATTCAGTCTTTAAAATGTGAAGTTACGAAAAAACAACTGCATTATTTTCTTTTCCCTATGCTCATACAAATATACTGATTTTCATGGGGACGAATACTTTTTGTAGTGTATGTATGTAAGTGTTAAGCGACTTTATGAACATCGGATTAGGAAATACTGATCGAAACCTAGGGGAAAGAAGTTTGATTTCTCTTGAAGATGTCATAATCTCACGTCAAGAGGTGAAATCTTAAAAACCAATTTCAACCCAGAAGAATAATGTATCCCAAGCCAACAGATTTCAGTAATATATTCTGATTATTACATTCACTAATGGAGATGACATAGTCTTCTTATTTGAAACTTGCTGAAGCTACTTCTAATACATTTTTTTTCAGACAGTAAAAAATTATGTGAATGAAAGATATAGTGAGATTATTCGTTAAGCTGTACATCTCAATACTAACTTCATTTATCTGCGAAGAGAAACTGTTAGAAGGTTGAAACAATCTTTATCGAAACTTAAGGTTAATACTCGATTCTCGAGGTTGTTACACTATCTTATCACAGGCCAACAATCGTTATCTCTTGACATCAGGGCTACCTTGGACAGGACTTTGCTTTAGGATTCTATATTAAAGAAGGGTATGCGTTAGAAGTTCATTAACATCTCAAAGGCCCTATTTACAGACACCTCAGACAGAGTAATGACATACACTCACTTCTCTTCACAGTTTTGGAAACAGGTCTGATGGATGTATGTAATGGTAGTATGGATTCGTTAAGCTAGAGGACTGTAACCTCGAGTATGCGGATAAGATCTTACTGCACAGTGATATTCAGACCATGCAATCCCCTTTTAATCAGCTGGCATTCAGTGTCCATAGGTATTGCAGGCGATTATCACCTAAGTGCAAACTACTTTTAAAAAACTGACAAGGCAGATAGTAGTCGAAAAGTTCATGTAGCTGTGTAAGTGCTGGTGGTGGCGTAAGTGATGAGATCAGTCCAAGTATAGTGAAATCCAGAGCACCTTATACCAATCCGGACAGTCTTTGCCACCTTTATGATGCTAGTCTGTCTGTAAAAGGTTGGATCTCCGTGTCAGTGAGAATAGTTTTGCTGTATGCTTGTGAAACCTGGTCCCTCCTAACTGAAGATACTAGCTCTGAAGGATTGCCGACTTTGAGCGCCAACACTATGTCAGTGATGCGGAGGTTCGGTAACACATGTTCGGCCACAGCAACGATAATGCCATGTGTGTCACCACCTCAAAACACTGACTTCGGACATAAGCTACACGTGTCGTTCCAGTGAATCCCACATCGTGCATTATTTGCCAAGGCTAGGAGTAGTTGGAAAAATCAGAGAGGTGGTCAATGTGACATGGTATCGCGCCACGAAAGCTGTACAGAAATGTCATCTGTTGACCCTTCACGACTACCTGGTGGAGGTCCCATAGACTTGTACAACTTACTGGCCTGGTACGTAATCAGACACGGCTTAAAATAGTAGCCAGTGGGTTTTACTGTAACTTGATGTTGATTTCTTTACATAAGTAAAAGTTGCGACTTGCTGATTGTATTTTGTTTTATCGAACTATTCCTTACACTATTAATATTTCACTAACATACCAATTTCTATCCTTTTTTTGTTATAATCACTGTTCTTTCGCTATTTCTTTACAATCTCATTTTCATTGTGGCGCATACATATTTTGTACCTAATTGTAACTTTTAAATAAATAAATAGTTTGAGACGCTTAAGGAAATGACTCAGGTTTGGTCACAATGGCCTAGATGTATTCAACATTTGTCTCCCTCCAGATTTCGAATTCTATAATTTCTCTATACATGACTGCCAATTCCATCACTGAAAACCATATTCTCACTATTTAGTATTCTTAATTAACATCGATACGTATATTACTTCGACTACTTTGCTATTTATCAAGTTAATTTCATCACATCTTGCTGATATAGTATGGAAACTAGGGATAAAACACAGTTCTGCTATTTTGTATGATGATTATGACCAGCTGAGATGTATTAGTTATAAAACGGCCATAACCTATGAAACTACATCTATCAACTTAAGCTTAAATGTGCATTTTATATATGGAGGATATATTGGCACTACTGAGGTTAGAAGTTAGCTACGGGACATTTTCTATACATGTCAAGATTTTGTCAGACACACTATGATGCAACAGAAGAATTAATTGTGTTTAACTACATCACTGTGGATTCGGATTTACAACTGACGAGCATAAGTGACGAAACAAAATTTGCACCTACAGAAAGAAAACACCTTTCAAACATTCTTGTACTACGTTAGGCTATTGCTATGGTAATCAAGTTATTTTTTCTAGAAACTTGACTACATTAAGTATTTTTGCATGGTTAACGTAAAAAGTAGGATAGAAATACCCATCGTTCTACATTTCATATATATTCAACAAAAGTCCAATTATTCAACTTCACAGGTTAGTCTAAGTGATTATAATGATTGATTCTATATCAACCAACAAGTATTATTTTCCCTAATAATTGTAAAGTTATGACCACTCAGTATTTATCATGTAATAAATAGATTACTAGACCATTAATAACCACTTTGGTAAATCTCAGATGAAATAAAATAAAATCACCTAGCTTTATGTTTATTAATTATCTAAATTAGTGTCAAATGCATTTTCAATATAAGTGTAGTAGATAACCCAATAAATTGGAAAAACAAAGGGAGCATGGAAAAAAACGAAACATAGACAGAGAATAACAATATAATCGACATCAGTAAACATGAGAATATCATTAATGATTTGTACAATGAAGTGGAGAATTGTAATAGTTTGCAAAGTATATTTAACATATACAAGATGTAATGTTGCATACAAAATACATACACACGAACACACACACACATACATACACACAGATAAATAATTTAATGAATAATACGAGAATTAACAGCAAATGATACTTTGTGCACACCACCAATTGGAGGTGAATTTACATATGGTGATTTATGAACAGATGGATTAATACTTGTGATTGGATTATCTTCCATAATTTTTAAACTGTTTGTCATTTCATTAATAAGTCGTTGCATTTCTCGAATACCATTATGACGTTGAGTTAAATACTAGAGAAAAAAAAATAATACAAACAAAAAGATCATTATAATTGTCTGTTGAATAGGGTTCAATCTAAAAAATAATAATCACTACTTATTGGATTAAAAGTAGTAAGAAGATATCCCAGAAATGATTTTAACATCGCGTGCACTATGTTTTGATGTTGGGTGGTTGTTGGAATCAGTTGGCACGAATCCTAGTTTTGTTGGATTAGAGAGTTTCTTGTTAGCAAGTGGCATCTGCAATCCACAGAGAAGTGATGATCTCCATTAGATTTAATAAACTAGCTTTAAACCATGATTGGTTTAACTGCATAATGTGAGGATAATTGATCACCGTTTTTTAATTAGGACCGATCAGCATGTTTCATAGTCACGTTCTATGACCGAACTATCCTGAACTACAGGGTTCGTGCTTCATAGAATAAGCTTCAAATAAACCAATTCACTGAAACATCCCCAACATCCCATTCAAGGTTACCAATAGAACTCTGGAAGCATAAATAAAAAGCAATCCAAAAAACACACCTTCAGAACATTACACTCGGGTGCAATAACGAAGTGAGTACCTTCATCATATCATATACAGCTCTATACATTGTGTGATATTGTTTGAAAACTAATATCACAATCTGAATAGTTGGAGCACAGAACAAACTAGTAGCTAAATAGTTGAAAAAAATAAAGCCTCGACATCAAAAAGAGGCTTTACGAGTAGGTAAAATATAAGGTTACTAAGTTTTTAGAATCAAAACAAATACCTATATATATCAACCTCCATAAAACACATCCACTGGTCAATGTAAATAATATTTGTTTGTGAAACATTTACCAAAATTATTTAAGCTGCTTATAAGTAAAGTGAATAAAAACATTAAAATATTTGCAGATCAAAATGATGCTTTTTACACTAAACATATTCAGATGCTTTTGATGTGTATCAATAAGCCCAAAAACCTTAATACAAAGTCTTATTCTTGTAATTCCAAGCACATCACTTCAAATAATTATAGAAAAATAGATCAACTAAATACAAAATGGATGATACTTGGAAAACTTGCAGATAGATAAAAAAAAAACTTGAATATACACCCAACTAATAAATCATACACACACACACACGCACAAAATTCACCTCTTTCAATTCATTTAACGAATCCGCATCTAAACTCCATGTTGATGGATAAATATCGCCAGATTCTAATGAACCAATATTTTCTTTATCTCTTTTGTTAAACTCAGAAGAATTACGAAGTGCAGACAATGATTCTTGAAATCGAATACGTAAACCTCTTGGAGCGACAAGTTCTGACCATATACGTTCAAGTTCACAACGCATTCCCTCTTCTTCTGCACTGATAGCAAATCCACATCTCCTGTGCACTTCCTGATGTTTAAGAACCTTAAAAGCCATGTTTTGAAAATGAATAAATATAAAAGATTATACAATTCAATATTTATGTTAAGTAGTTATTTTTTGTTTTGTAAAAATGAGGAAAATTTTTGAAGATTATCAAATGGGCAAAAGGATGACAAGAAATAGACAACAGGAAATCCAAGACCGAAATTCAATTCTAGCCGATAATCATCACTAAAACGTAATTACAAAATTTAGAGAATGAATACTGTCCGTAGGATTCGTACCTGCACTAACCAGCTTCATAATCTGGCATATTACCATTAGAATTATTCCAGCCGCGACTGACCTTCAGTAGAACTCAGATATTTACAAGTGATTGATTACCGAGCAGTAACCACTGCTGTCTTTTTCAAGTACTTTAGTACTTTAGGATAGAAATCGATCGGCACTAATCGACTATACAAACATTACATTGGTTACCACTCAGTGATCAATCAATAGTTAAGTAATATTATCCAACGGAATACACCTTGAATCCATCAGTAAATGGATCTCAATTATCTGTTTATTGATTGTGGTTTCCATTCATTTATTTACTGTTACGACGTCAGTAAGCTGCTTTTAGATAGATATGTCATTAATAATTATTTAATGATGAGTTATAAACAGTAAAAATTCACTCAACTATTAATAAGTTACGAATGTAAAATAAAATTAGGAAAATCAATATACTAACACAAAAACCAACCTATTTTTGACAAGAAATAAATCTATAACGACCAATTACCCTGCACACTCACATCGATTTGTATGTACCTGTGTGTGTGTTTGTGTGATGTAGAACCAATCATTCTTTTCACACAGCAGTACACTATGCCGATTGAAGTGGAAATAATTGTGTTATAAAATGAAAAATGCTGAACACAAAACGCTTGACTTCGGATCTGTATTGTATGGAGAAGTATTTACGTTCTGGTTGGATTTGGCAAGATAACTAAACTGACTGACAAGAAATTTCAAGTGACTTAGTCTTCAATTTAGTTGTAATAATCTATATTTATTCATTAATCTATGCCTGCTTTTTTCTGTTTTGAATTGATTTCCTTTTGTTTAAACAGTTTCTATTAATAATATCAATATTTCAAGTGTGATAATTTAAAACGACAAAAAACAGATGCGCTTAAATATTCAAAACAATGATACCCTATCTATTAAACAAGCAGACTTGTTTTTCTAACGCACACAAAACATTATTTGACAATTAACCAATATATGTTGAAATCAGCTTTGGTAATTAGTTAGTCTCAAAACTAATAAACCTATCCAAAATAAGGTTTAGAGTTTCGGAACCTAGACATCATTTGAATGTAATCAGTTATGAATTAGCATGGATCTCCACTAGCATAAGTGTAATTTAAATGAATTACCGAATTGAAAATGATATTTATGAAAAAAAATAATATAAGATTTTAAAAATTAAACGAATATATTTGCTCAAGTATCAATAATTTCCAAACATATCGAATGCATAATATTTATATCAAATAACTAAGAGATATCAACTAACTCACTTTCAATACTCTATGGGTTAATTCGATTTGTTTACGTTTCAATTGAATAATTCGTTGTGACATACCAAGTTGACCAGTGCGTAATTTAGACAGCAATTCAGTAATATACTAGAAAAGTAATATATTTATTAGACACATATAAATGACAATGAGAATGAATATAAATGAAAAGATTTGGATGAAAGTTATTTTAGAGAGATTTCACAATAATGGAGATGAATGAAAAAAAAGAGCGAAATACAGTTGTGGAAATATAAACATTGGCAAATGAATATACTGCCGCCTATTTAATATTTTCAGTAATGCTAATATCGATCAAAAGGTACATAGAAAGATAATAATTCCTTCACAAAGTAACCAAATCAAGAATGAGGTATACATCATCAACAGTATGATTGGACAGACAGAAACGAGACAGTCTATACGGTTTAATATACGAGATGTTACGTCAGTTACAACGTAGATCTTCGTACGTGTGTATATCAGTTCAAGTTGCTATACCACATTAGCACAGAGACACAATTGTCAACTCAAATCCCATAGTAATAGAGGTAGTGAAAATTAACAGTAATCGGAGAGATTAGGGTTCGAAGATAACGATTCGAGAAGTATAATTCAGTGAAATAAATTTAAAAAGAGAAAGATAGAGGTGATAGGGAATTCAGAAGGTTAGAATTTGAGAGAACATAAAGGGTAAATGCACCTGCGACATTCCAAACGGTTTTGAGCCATGTCATTTAGGGTCTCTAATCATCGATTACTAACATCTCGTGGACCCCAATCAGGTAGTCGACACCTAACGACATGACTCAGTCCACTTGTCAGTGACTTTATGGATTTGTGCCATGTTTTGTTTTGGCCACCCCTAGCTTTCGTTCAACCTATTCCTACACCGCAAAATATAGCTCGACCAGGCAGTCGGTGGTTAGGCATACGCAACACATGTCCCAACCACCTCAACTGATAAAGTTTCATTACTTCATCTATTGACCTGCCATCCTTACCTAGCACCCGTTTCCTAACAACAGCATTGCTTACTTGGCTGTCCCACCATACTCGAGCAATGCTTCGGAGACACCTATGATCGAAAACAAGTAACCTACGAATATCTCCTACTCTGACCGACTATGTTTCACAGCCATAAGGCAGGACAGAGCGAACTACTGTGCAGTACACGCGTCCTTTGCTCAACAAAGGGATATTTCGCCTTCGCCATAAGTGACGCACGTTGGATACGAGATTTAAAAGCAGATGTAAGTAGAAAGTAATTTCTAAAAGGTCTCAAATAAAACAATTATCTCAATAAGTCAGTCAGTCAGATACAACGTAGAACTTCGTACGTACGTACATCAGTTCAAGTTGCCATACCACATTAGCACAGAGAGGTGTATTTGTCAATTTAATTTCTATAGTGTTAGAACTAATAGAAGTATTAACAGTAATGGAGATTAGTTGACGAAGATATGATTCAAGAAGTACAGTCTAGTGATATAAATTACAAAAGGAGGCGTTAAGTAACTCAGACGATTAGAATGCGAGAGAAGATAAAGAATATATTCACCTGCGCCATTGCAAACGATTTTGAGCCATATCATTCAAAGTCCCTGACCATTGGTTACAATTGTCTCATGGACCCCAACCAGGTAATCTACGCCTGCTAACACTCATCCTTTCGTTAGTAAACGGATATCGCGCCTACGCCTAAAGTGACGCATGTTGACAAAAGCCAATCGGACCTTCTGTGTCCGTGCTGAGATGTAGTTAGTCACCAGGCCATCAGCACTGATGAGACTCCCCAGATAAGTGAAGTGGTCAACACGCGTAACAACTTCACTACCTATCACCAGTTAAGGTACCGACGCAAGCCAATCCTGAAGCAACATTCTGCATTTCCAGTGGGGAAAACCGTATATTGAACATGCATTGTTGCTTAAGGTGTTCATCGATCTAATCTCCTGGGTTGAGAATGAATAATAATACCATCCTTTTCAGAGATAGTTTCGTTAACAGATGGATTCCTAGTACCAATTTCCGTGCTTAGTTGGGATAGTTGTCTGCTGTTATCCATCGCCGTTGCTTTTTCCATCACTCTTGTTTTCGCTACCCACCATTGTTCGCGATCATTGCGTAGGCTTCTTTATCAGCCCCTCATCATGTTCAGAACCAGATAGGATGACTTTCCGAGCATATATCAGTTCAGTAGATGCTACTGAAATACACTGCATCTCCTTAGTCTTTTGGTCTACCTTACTAGCAGATATCACTGCTGTTTCCACAGCTTTTTGGATATCGTTCCCAGCTGCTTCGGGGTGGGGATCACTTACATCGCTGCCTAACTATTTTTCTAGTTGCTCCTAAAATGTATTCTTAATTTTGCTAACATTTAGTAGAACCGTAAGAGGTTTCCTTGCAAAGTATTTCCTACATCAAGTACCTCAAGAACTATTTGCTTGCAGCCATGAAATGTTGGCTATCCATATACCTCTAGTAATCACCAATATGATCATACATACTTCAAAGAAAGGAAAGTTGAAATGTTTATTTGTTGGCAAAAATAAGCCGTAGGTGAAAAAGCTAACTGAATTTACGAGAAATAGTAATTCCAAGTCAAAAAATAAAATATCATACATACCTTGATCATACTGCTCTGTTGTTCACCGTAAGCAAGTTGATCACATTTACGTCTTCTTAAGTCAGAAAATCCAATAAATGGAATTGGGATCATACGATCAGGATGTGGATTATCAAGGCAAGCCTGACAAAAAAACAACAAGATTACTAATGACTGTATAACAGACATATGTAAATATATAACTGGTAAAAACACTGTATAGAAACGTAAGTGATGACGCGAATCTCCTATACAGAAACAAGTAGAACTGCTGAGAATAAATAAAAATATTAATAATAAAAATATAAGTTATCGGTTGCTATCAATGCAAGCCTTCGTAGTTATTTGCGAATTCAGTAACGCAATTGATTAAGAAAACCGACCACTGCTTAACCACTACGCAGTGATTAGATAATAAAATGATGAGTGTATTTTTCGGAGCGGCGAATCAGAGGTCAATTCCTATCGATTTCAGGAAATAATTCACCAGTTCAAACCTACACTACTTTATCAAGTTTGGATTGCATCACTAGTCCCCTAACTTACAATGTGGCTGGAAAGCAGCAACTAAATTAAGAAATGCATAAAAGCATCTTAAAAAGTTCATTGACATAAAATGAAAAGGTTTTATAATAAAGGACAGCTGTACATATTTACCTGTTGCCATATTAATCTATCAAAACCAGCTGGTGGATTCTCATTATAAGCAACAATCTGTGCAGCAGATGGAGATATTTCCGGAATTAAACGATTCACACACAATTGTGATTGAAGTTGCGGTGCAACCGATGGACTTGATAAATACTTTGCAAGTTCACTAGCGGATATAGTAGATGTTGCGCCTTAAAGAGGAAGAGATAAAACACAATTTCAAGACACTGAAAACATTCGCAGGTTACTAGTATTCGATCATTTGTGTCTTTGAAACAATACCCGTATATTCTGGGACCACCAAGTAGGCAATGTTGGTGTTAGAAAACGAGTACTAGGTAAGGAAGGTAGATCAATTAATGAAGTAGTGAATGTTCATCAGTTTAGGTGGTTAAGACATGTGTTGCGTATGCCTAACCACCGACTGCCTCGACGAACGATGTTTTGTGATGTACGAGTAGACTAGAAGGAAGCTAGGGTCGGCCAAACCAAAACATGGCACAAATCCATAAAGTCACTGAGAAGTGGACTGGGTCATGTTAGCAGGTGTAGACTAGCTGGTTTGGGTCCACGAGTCAATAGTAACCGATGGTCACGGACTTTGAATGGCACGGCTCAAAATCGTTTGCAACGGTGAAGGTGCATTCATTCTTTGTCTTCCCTTAAATCCTAACCTTTGTCATCTTCTCTTCAAATTTACCTCGCTGGATTATACTCCTCGAATCACATCTACGACAGAATATAGCTTGTAGTCCAATCATATTTCTATAGACCCAGTTATATCATTATACTAAACAATAGTTTTACAACACTAATAAATCTTAAGCACTAATTGGTATGCTCCAGGATTAACGACTATATTCTGTATATTGCACTAGGATATAATAACTCTAACTGAACCGAGAGCCTACACGTGACCCCATAAATCTGACAGCCATTCAACGTATTTTTCCAAAACAACTGAACGGTGAAATTTTTGGTTTAAAAAAAGGCTTTTACGTGAGTAGAGAATGGTTAATACTTATGGTTTATTAGTGAAACAGCTCACCAAGATGATACCATCGTTTTATGCCAACTAAAAACACACTGTGTCGAAAATTATGGGTTATAATATCTTTCAAAAAGTTATGTTATGCTAGTGAATTTGCACTGAATAAATTTGTTTAACTGGTAAACAGGATTCAGAGGTACAAAATGCGCCGAAAAAGATGTGCAAATCGTTATACATTTTTACTAATAACAGTGTACTTATAGAATGATACAATCAATAGACAAAATAAAGAACTTACCAGTAGCTAATCGTGCCACAACTTTCAATATGACCTCAGTACTGTCTTCAGCTTCAGCACATGGACGAATTTCTTCCACCACTAGCTGTAAATTAGGACGACCACCTAATAGTCTAAATAAACTATCTTGTACAGCTTGACCTTGATTTGTAACTTCAGAGAATGGACGACCAATGTATAAACAAACAAGTCCATCAGCATCAGTACTTGTAGGCAAAACATTATATCCAATAGATTTTAATCGAGCAAATGTATTCTCCGGTGTATAACTCACCATACCTACAGCACTGTAACCAATACCAGTACCCCACATTGCTTGTAGTTGATTCCAACGTGCTATAACTGAATCACGTTCATCACCAAACAACATGGGTTGAGATAAAGAAGCAAAGAAAGCATCGACTGTGTTCTGTTGTGCAACTTGTAGTTGCTGTTGTTGTTGCTGCTGCTGCTGTTGTTGTTGTTGAGCAGTTACTGAAAGACTTTGATCAAAGCCGAAACCTTGCGCTGTAATAAACGAAATATGTTTACAATTAGATGGTACATAACACACAAAATACAAACTTTGATTACGGAATTATGTAATACAATGTCACTAGCAAGGATGTTGTTATAAAGGCAACAACCTGTATACTTGAAAGTGAACGATTTTACTAAAGTAGTATCTATACGATATATTCCAAAGTCTTTAACCAGTAGCTGAGGGTAGGTGGTTTCAATTTAATTTAGGTTAAGCTTAGGTGAGGGTGAGTGGGGCTACTTCGCTACTCAAACAGAAGTAATGTATAGTGAGTTTTGAGAGTGAAAGTCAACAAGCATTTTCTAGAACACCTCTCAAAATTTTATCAGTAATATATAATTACAGAATAACAAAGACGTAACTGAATGACTGACTCATAATGGTTTGAAAGTAAACTCATAATAGTAATAATAATAGTTTTATACAGTATTATATGTTTCATGCATTGTGAAATTCCTAAAGTACGATGGTGCAACAAGTTTTTCCTACTTTTCTTTTATAAAAACAGTACAATGGATAAGTGTATAGGCGAAATGAAAAAATAAATTAGTTAGAATTAATTGGAATATTTTAAGGAAAATAAGAACCTATACAACTATGAATTAGCAGTAAGTTCATGAATATACTTTAGATTAAGTCAGCTCATATAACTAACTAGTTCATTCCCTAATAAATGTGCTGGATACAATATTTGAAAGCTTTTTTACCTAAGCTTGCATGCATGGACTTTGATACATCTACATCTCGTCGTCCGTTTTAAATCACTGAAAGTGCTCGTACTGGTGATTTTAGGATAATAGCGTACTTCCTAAGTAAAAGAAACAGTTTGATAATAGAGAACATCAATTAAGTCAGAGATATTCTGGATATCAAAATAAATAACTGCTGTTGGCCTTTAATTTGGTTGAGGGTATATACTTCCAGTCAGGTTGAGGACATGACTGTGACAGTCAGAGATTGAAAGAATCCTGGACTACTTTCACACCAGTTCATGTATTTCGCATAATAAGCAGCACAAAAGCAACTAATATGTTGGACACACTTGATACCTGTACGATAGTCACACGTAGCTGAGATACGATATAATAATTGATTTATCATAGACTGTTGAACCATTACAAGTGTGCTAGATCTTAATAAAGAAATTTAGTTGATTTTACTGTAAGCATTTTACTTCTATCTTTGAGTACATAACAGATGACTTATGGAGTTCCTTATTGATTTCTACATATTTATGTAAACGGATACAGACTATATGGAAGAGTTAACTAAGGTCAAAACTGTTGATGTAGTAGATTATTTCGAAATCTATTTGCGGTATCAAAGCATTCGATTGCTTATGGATTTGAGTCATAACTACAATAGTGATACTAATCGTAGGATGTCAGATATGAAAAAGACCGCGATTTTCAACTTCCATCTCTTAAGACGGTTAGTAACATTATTTGTACTGCTCAGTCGTAGTTGATATCATCGTTAGATATTTATTATAATAAAAGAAGAGTAAAAAGCATCAAACCGGTAATACTATTACATGGTCCCGATTCTTAGAATCACTTACTATCCATTTGAGCCAACCGGAGAAGAATATACTTCTGGAGCATTGGATCCATGAACACAGAAATAACATTCTTCCTAAGGTAGGTATCAACACTCCCAAAAGACCAACCGTACGAATTTGCACAAGAATTCAAATCTCAGTATGAAGTGCTGATATATTATGTATATCTCACCATCACGTTATCAACTATTTATTAATAGGAGTGGATTTGTATTCATTCCGACTGTTGTTTAACGATGTAGAAATTATGGCTAAGTATTAAGACATTTAACACAACAGTAAATATTTTTGCTGATTAAAACCAGGATATTAACTTTCTTTATTACGAGTACGCTAATATAAATAAAGCTTTGAATGTGCCTTTTGAGATTCTGGAACTACCGTAAGCTCACCTACCTAACAAAATAGGTAATTATTAAACAAACTTCATGCGATAGTGTTTAATACGAGCAGCACATGTATATTGCGTATCGTACGCTAAACATTAAAAACTAAGCAAGATCTACCTTAAAACGGCTTAGACCTCTAACATAAAATAAAAATTAGAAGTAAAATTAATCGCAAAAGTCGATTTGAATATAACGATAGAGAAACTTACTTTTTGGGATGTTGAACAAACTTTGAGTCGGCTGTGTGAAGCTAAATCCAGTATTTTGAGATGCTTGTTGACCTAACTGAGATCCAAATAAATTTAAACTTTGCTGAGTACTAGCAGCAGGAGCAGAAAATGTAGAACCGAACAACCCAGAGGTTGTTTTTGGAGTGTTTAAGTTAAAACCTTGAAAAGGAGTTGGATTTTGTCCAAATCCAGGAAAGGTTGAATTGGTTGCATTTGTTGTTGGCACTTGAAACAATCCAGAACTTGAAGTTGTGGCAGTAGATCCAAAACCAAAACCTCCGAATGGTGTCGTTGTATTGGCAACTGATGGCTGTAATCCAAAGCCAAGAGTTGGAGCTACACTAGTAGCGCTAGTCGTCGGTTGCGAAAATCCAAACAACTTAGGGGATCCAAATAAACTCATCTGGAAATCAAGCAAAACACTAGTCCTATAATTTTTTTAGGAGGAAAGTAAGTTAATGTCATTTCACGTCATGTTATACCCAAATTCTACTTTTGGCACTGTAAATTGAATTCTTGACATGCATAGAGGTAATGTATGAAAAATCTCGGTAATAAACGTTTATCTAACTGCTGATTTTAAAAAAAATACTACTTGAAGCACATGGGAAGACAAAGAGAATGTAAAAGCATCAAATGGTCGATTGACCTAATTTACTATATTCCCCATTAAAACAACCAGTGTCAACAGTGCCACTCCAGTGCTTATCAGTATAAAGAACAAAGGAAGACTTTAGGTAGGAGATAAATAGGTCTTGAAAGACTGCCTCATTTTTATGCAAGGAGAAGGTTGGGATTAGAAGATTTTAGTCAAGAAGTAGGATCTAGTGAAATAGACTTAAAAGGATAAAGATAAAGTGATGAAGAATTAAAAAGCTTAGGGTTTGAGAGAACAGAGAGAGTAAATGCACCTGCGCCATTGCAAACGGTTTACAACCACGTTATTCTGGGTCTCTAACCACCTATTACTAACATCTCGCGTACCCTAACCAGGTAATCGACAACTACCAACATGGCTCAGGCCACTTGTTATTGACTTTATGGATTTCTGCCATGTTTTGGTTTGGCCACCCCTAGCTTTCGTCCAACGTATTCCTATATCGCAAAACAGCTCGACGAGGCAGTCGGTGGTTAGGCATAGGTAACACATGTCCCAACCACCTCAACTGATGAAGTTTCAATACTTCATTTATTGACCTTCCATCCTTACCAGGCACCCGTTTCCTAATAAACAGCATTGCTTACTCGGCTGTCCCAGGATACACGAGCAATGCTTCGGAAACACCTGTAATCTAGACCTAGAAACCTACGAATATCTTCTACTCTGACTGGCCATGTTTCACTGCCATATAGTAGGACCGAGCGAACTACTGCGCAGTATACTCGTCGTTTGGTTAGCGAACGGATATCGTGCATATGCCTAAAGTGACGCAGGTTGGCAAAAGCCAATCGAGCCTTCTGTGTCCGTGCTGAAATGCAGTCAGTCACGAGGCCATCGGCACTGATGAGACTACCCAGGTAAGTGAAGCAGTCAACATACTCAACTGCTTCACTCCCTATCACTAGTTCAGGTGCAGATGCAAGCCAGTATCGAGGCAACATTCTGCATTTTGAGGGTGAGAACCGCATCCCGAACATGCTTGCATTGTTGCTTAGGGTGGACAGAAGACTCTGTATTTTGTCAGCGTCTTCACTAAATAGGACGATGTCATCAGCATATTCTAAGTCAGTAAGCGATATTCCTGGTAGAAAGTTCACTACTAAAAATTCAGACGAGGATAAGGTTATATCTAGGAGCATGTCTATGACAAAATTAGACAAGAATGAGGAGAGTAGACATCCCTGACGGACACCAATCGAAGTAAAGAATTCCGGTAACAGTTCGCCATAAGCTCTCACTCGACCTGTAGTGTTCCAGTAGAGAGCTTGTACAAGGTTAATGTACTTCTTTGGTACACCTTTCGATGACAGACACTGCCATAGAACCTCACAACCCACATAGTCAAATGCCGCCTTAAAGTCCATGAAGGTAACTATTGTAAGACGCCTAAATATGTGTCTGTGTTCTAAGACCTGTCGTAGTGTGAAGATGTGGTCTATACATCCTAAGAGGTTTCCCGCAATAGTTTTCTTGCGTCCAGTAAGGCGCGAACAAATACGAGCCTGCACTAGAGCATGGTCTGAGTTCAAACTTCTTGAACAAAATCTTCTAATCCTAATCTCTCCGACCACCTCTAATGCCTTTACTACCTCTACTGCTGTGGGATTCGAATCGACAAATACATCTCTGTGCTATTCTGGTATGGCAACATGAACTGATGTACGTACGTACGAAGTTCTACGTCGCTATTGATTGATTGATGATAGGCGGTTGTCTGAGCATAGCTGCAGCAGACGGTCGTCATTATCTGTTCGATTAGCCACGACACCATAAGATCCACCCAGGTGTATTTCCTTTTCGCTGAGTCTACCTACTTGAGCGTTAAAGTCACCAGCCATTATTACTATATCAGAGCGCTTAACATTTTGGAGAAGTTTAGAAAGGTTTCTATAAAATTTATCTTTCACCTCATCTGAACTGCAGTCAGTGGGAGCGTAGACAGATATGACGAAGAGGCAACGGCGAGTGTCCCTACCTTTCCGAGTCCGTACCGTTCCGTTAGGTCGGACAGAGCATAAGCGACTGTCTATCGGGATCCAGTCTAAGAAAGCTGGTTCCGCCCAAGGACTTAATACAATACTTGAGCCGGCAAGGCCACGGGGTTTCAGGGTTTCCAGAAACACGAAGCGTTAACAGTGTTGTGTCTCTTTCTGCACTATGTGAGGTCAAATTGATGTTTTAACTCGGATCTTGAATGTGCATTTTGAAGACGTAACATACATCGATCGCCCGTGACTCCAGAGTTCTTGCTAATGAAGCCTGTTGCCCTGCTTGGCATAGAGTTCGAATATTAAAAGCTCCTATATGCAATTTTGTACAGGGTTTCAAGAGACCGGGAATAATGTTACGTGAGCTCATACCGTTTACTTCGAAGGCGTGAGGTGATAAAATATCGAAAGAAGGGTTAGTCGAGGAGATGAGAGAGTTCTTAAGAGGTGTAGGAAGGATTTGATTTTGACCAATTCGGTCTCGCGTGCTGTTATGGGTATGAGGGTGGTTGTCACTTCCCGGTTGCCCGACACACCACGGAAGGTTGTTTCTTGAGGAACCTGAAAAGGAAGGTAGATTAGTGTTGGTCTTAGAGACCTAGGTGCGTGACCGCAGAGCCCAGAGGACAACTGCTTGAGACCGGTCACGCAGCGCCTTTTTATGAAGGGATTTTTTACTATTAGCTCCGCTCTTGAAAGCCCTTGGTGGGCACCCTTACCGACGGAGACGGAAATCCGGGAGGTAGGGTGAGGTGTGAAACTTTTAGGGTCGACCTTTTCTAACCCTTCCTTTCTTGTGAGAAGGCAGCAGCGCTGCAGATGCTGGTTGTCCGAGGGAAACACCTTACTGCTGTCACACCCCTCTGCAGTTAGCAGTACGACTTCGACCTCAAACTTGAGTAGCTGCCTCCAGTCTTATCGTTCTCCAATCGGCCTGACTGGCATGGTAGAACCTTCAGGAACATAAGTTTCAGCCAATATGGCTCAGCTGGTTCATCACGATGGGCAAGCCCGACCACCACGTCAAGGTAGCAGCTGCGGTCGGGATGCATATTGATCATCAAGGTGCAGATGCGTACATAGTGAGTAACAATGAACTACCTGTTATCCAGACACATAATTACCTAGAAGTAATCATTACTCAAGGCTCGAAAACTATTGCACGTTGCCATGCATTAGCCGCCAAAGATTTTAGAACCTTATGGCCTAGGGCCTTTAGCCACGTCAATGCTAAGACATTTTTCACTTTGTATACTGCATTGGTTCGTCCTAAATTTCAGTATTGCATATAGTCAGCTAGCCCCTGCCTAAGAAGTATATTTTGAGGTGTTGGAAACGGCTAAAAGACTGGAAGTAAGATGATTCCCGGATTCTCAAAGCTGCCATAAAACGAGATATAAACGTATTTCCTTTATAATATTGAAGACCAGAAGTGACTTAATCACAGTTTTTAGATTACTAAACGATAAATCGGCATCTGACATGACCTCATTTTTGGCCGTGCAAAACAATGAATTAACCAGGATACTCTAAAACAGCTAAGCCTAGAAATCAAATTACTAATTGGCTGACTACTGACTCCCATTTAATTGTCGACAGGTAGGACTCGTTATCTCAACGCGTCGTTGAAGCTCTGTTTATCGACGCATTCAAGGGAACCTGGATCAGCTGACAGATCAAAGTGCTCGAACCAACATGGACCACCCAGCCACCTGTCCTTTCCAAACTGAAAATGAAGTCAGTCAATACAATGACTTCACTTTAGTTCGACTGAAGAATGTGTCTACATCTTCCTATCATTAAGTGAATCAAACAACTTTATTTTAAAACAGAGACTAAAAG